CCACTTTCACAGAGAGAGAAAGAGTGAGTGAGTGAGTGTGTGTGTGAGAGAGAGAAAGCAAGAGCAAGAGTGAGAGCACGAGTGCAGAACTCTGATTCAGAAAATCCCCAAAAAATGAAACACAAACATTTCCCTAAGTGACACTCAACAAGCATTTCAGTTTCTTCTGTTTTTGTAAATCAACTAAAAAAGCAGACCAATCTGGTCAAACATTTTATTTTGAACTAGCTCTTCTCTGTAGTGATTCACTGGATACTAAAAGGCACTTTTAGAATTGCTTGGGAAAATGCCAATAGACGAGAAAGAAGCAATGTATTTGATTGGGCAAATTTGTTTGTAGAAATAAAAGAAAACCTAAACTGACCTTTGAAGTTTCATTAATCTCTTCTTCCGGCTAAAATGAGTAGAACACAAACCAAAAAAGGAAAAAGAAGTCTGCGTTGGACTGGATGGCACATCAAAGGCAAGAAAGTACGTTGGTTTGGGAAGATCAGTTAATAATATAATTAAGAGCAATGGTCTGTGCCTTCCTCTGCAAGGGAAGATGACCTTGTTCATTAGGCAGATGTTTCTTTTGCTTGTGCCCCGATTTGAACTCCACAGAATCCTGCTTTTGAGTAGAAAGCAGGGAAAGCCACAACAAGGTTACCATTAATGTCAGTGAAATACTAACTAATTTCATTACTGTGTAAAGAGCTACAGAGGTACAATATGGAAAATATAACTATGCAAGATTTTGCTTTTTATTGATTTGCAAGATCTACTCTGTGATGGAAGGACACCTATATGCATACACAGTCACACACATATTTCAGTGATACTATTTCAGGGCCAAATATAGTCAGTCTGAAAGAACTTCATTGGCTACCAGTTGTGACCCAGACCCAAATCAAGGCAATTGTATTGACATATAAAGCCCTAACCGGTTTGGGGCCCAGCTATCTATTTTTTTTATTATTTTTATTTTTTTTATTTATATCCTGCCTTTTTCCTACAAAGGGCTCAAGGCAGCTTACATTATCTCTCCTCCTCCATCTCATCCCCACAACAACAACCCTGTGAGGTAGGTTGGGCTGAGAGACTGTGACTGGCCCAAAGTCACCCAGTTGGCTCCATGGCCGAGCGGGGACTCGAACCCAGATCCTCTGAGTCCCAGTCCCATGCTCTTAACCACTACACCACACTGGCTCTCTAAAGAACTGTCTGCACCCATATATACCTACCTGACCCCTTAGATCAGCTCAGGAGGCCCTTCTACAAGAACCACCCCTCAGGGACATGAGAAGAGTGGCAACTCGGTGAAGGGCCTTTTCCACTGCTGCTCCCCATCTTTGGAACTCCCTCCCTAGGGAAATTCACCTGGCACCATCTTTATGATCCTTTCAGTGCCAGGCAAAGACATACCTTTTTAGGAAATTTTTTAACAGTCTGAATGCTGTGTCCCTATTTATATTGCTTTTATAGATGTTTTAATTGTTATGTTTTAATTGGCTTTAATGTGTTTTATTTTGTTAATATGTTTTATGCATTGTAAGTTGCTTAGGAAGGCCTTGGCAGTTATAGGTGGCCTATAAATACACATATGAACGAACAAACAAACAAACAAACAAACAACTGTTGGGTAGATTTCAAGCTTGCAAGACCAACTTTGCCTATTTTCCTAGGACTCCAAAATCCTGCACCCAGAACCTCATGCAACAGACATACACTGAGAACAGGCCTGAGCAATTAATGGCCCTCCATAATGTTTTGGTCTGCAATTTCCATCAGTCATAGCCAGCATAGCCAATGCTGGAGAATAAAAGGAGTTGCACATCAAAACATCTGGAGGGGCTCAGGTTTTCCATCCTCAGTTAGAATTAAAGAATTATGAGCACAGCAATGTGTGAACTAGAGCTGGGAAAAACTCACAGTTCTTCCATACCAAAATCCATTCTTTCTTACTCCCTTAATGTTGCTACCATTGTTAACCAGTTGGGAGCTAGAAATTTCTCTTAACTTGCTGAAAATCACCCAGACATCGACTGTCTGCCCAGCCCTGCTTTACATGTCACTAGCGTTAACATAGTAAAGATTGTCACCATGTGCCAAAGAGTGGCAGTTTAGGCCACTATTATTTTCCCTGGTTGAGCCACAGAGGAAGGTCCAGTTTCATCACTAGATCTAGTGAGTTTATTGCATGTGCTCACCTGGCTCCAATAATTGTCATGCCTGCCCTGGAAGGTTCTTCTTGCAGCCTGGTCTCCAGTACCACAGTTGGGGAGGGCCTGTTTTTAGCTCAGGAGATCTCTTCCCCCAAGGAAATGGAGTACACAACCAGCCAGACATCAATTCCTGGCAGACCTTGGCTGTTCTATCCCTACAACAGGAAAGTTTACACTGAAAGTCCGAGAAAGAAAGGTCTCTTAGCTCTGGAGCCAAGATGTTAACTCAAAGGGAAAATCTAGACACCCCCAACAAAGGAGCAGTGCAGACTACAATCTGAGACTGCAGTAGACTGAAGGAGCTCTACTCAGGAGCAGGGCAGTGTGGGCAACCACCTCCTGCCTGCAGCTGTGGGATAACTGTGTGACTCAGCCAAGCCAGCATCAAAGGCTGGCTTAGAAGGAAAACTGATACTGGAAAGCAGCATGTTATTTCTAGTTGTGGTATGCCTGCTTGGTTCTTACCTCTTAATTGTCACCTGTTTCCAACTCCAAATGCAGAATTGTGGGCCATTAGGGGAGGAATTACCCAGACTAGCAACCCAAGAAAAAACCATGAGTAAAACCAACTAATGGTGCTTCCTTGGATTGTTTACCACTGAACAAACAGCAGTCACAGTCAGTGCACTTATTGCTTCCATTTGTCCATGACTAGCCAGTGCTTGTTTAAATCCAGTGTAAATGTGCTAGGTGAACTGGGTCACATCTTTTTACATGACAATCAGTACTCTGACAGAGTAATGCTAATCTGTTGCAGCAGACACAACAAAGAGACGGCTAACACCTTGAAGATGCTTCATGGATCTTGAAATGTAAGTGTAAACTTGAACGAGCTGCACACAAATGTGATGAAGCAGACACCAAGGCTACATCTGATGCAATGAATTCTAGTCCACAACATCGTATGCAGTAATGAGTTAACTATTCTTTGAGGTACTATAAAAACTGTTTTTATTCTGGTAGTGTGAGAGCCAGTGCAGCATGTGTATGGTGGTTAAAATGTTGGACTGGGAACTGAGGAGATTCTAGGACCTAGTCCTTGCTCAGCTATGAAGCATACTTAGTGACTTTGCACTAATCACTCACTCTCAGGCTAACCTACCTCACAGGGTTGTTGTGAGGATAGAATATTGAGGAGGAGGACTATGAAAACCATCTCTTTCCTTAATAGAGGAAAAAAGGGAGGATGCAAATGCAACAGAGTAGTAGTAGCAGTAATATTAATAATAATAGTCTGTTTGGATTAAACATAGTAACATAAGTGGCTGTGATGTACTGGTAGGCTGAAGTGACAGAATGCAAGTGACAGTCCAGCAATCCCTGCAATTACTATTCCTTTTCCAAGAACTGGGGGAGGGATCAGGGTTAAGGGTCAGAGATAGGCTCTAAAGTCATGCTGTTCACAGGAGTGGTTCACTTATCAACACGAATCCCATGGGATCAAAGGAGCATGCACTCCGAGGTAGGCAGAAGAGAAGGCTGAGAACAGGGATCCAACAGGTGGTGACTATGGGAATATTGTTTTGTACATCTGCCAACCTGTATAGCTAGGGAGAAGCAAAGTGAGAAACAAAGATGTCATCGGGGCTGGAAACTTCCAGATACAAGAGTGGGGGTAACTATTTTGCTATATCATTGCTTCTACCCTTTCAATACAGAAAAGGTGGCTACTAGGTATCTACACCACTTGGATAACCAGTCAGTATTTCTTCTGTGCAATTTGTCCCAGCCACCTTCAACAATACCTGCCTGTCCTGCTGCCGCATATACTAATATGATTGGGTCAGGAGACAGTGTTAGAGAAGCAGAGAAGTAATTTCTTCTAAAAGAAGAAACATCTCAAAGGGGGCAACATGCTGTTTAAAATGGGCATAAATTTACATAAAATAAATACACAAATCAGGGTGTCCCAATTTCCAGTTTCCCAAACATTGGCAAGCTACCAAGTGTCCATTATTTTGCAGATGCGCCCCTCATTTTGAAACCCCATAGAGCACAATAGATGTCCCTTATCCAGCTACCAAACAGCTCAGTTCAACAGACTAAAGCACCCATGTGTTTCTGAATGGTTAATCTGGCAACCCTAACAACAGGTTATATTTATAGTCCTCAGCAAGGAGCATTCATTGGCTAGTTCCCAAGAATTTGGATTTTAAACTGAAAGGAAAAAAGAGACCTCCCCCCTCTCTTCCTCCACCCCAACACAATGCAACTGGGAGGGAAGCACGAAGAGGAAGAAATAGCTGACACAGCACAAAGAAGTGCGTTTTCATCAGATCCTGTGAAAACTGCTTAGCAACCTGGCCTGCTGGCTGCACACGGGCCCAGCCGCTGAACCCTGTGGAATCCCTGACACTCCTGCCTCCAGCGCCTAGCAACCAGCGCAGCCAGTGACTGCGCAGCACGTTGCAACCCCTTCTCCTTCACCCAGCCCCTTTCAGCCTACGTGCCAGACACGCCTGCATCCGAGCCAAATTAATCCCCCTTCTTGGAAAGCGAGCTGCTTTTGAACGACAGCGCTGGAACAGTTTCCGTGTGAACAAGGCAGGCTTGCCTCTCCCCTCACCCCGCTCCTCTCTCTCTATACGCTGAAAGAAAACGAAAACTATAGGTGACTCAGAAGATGGCAACAAATCCGGGAGCATTGCGTGGCTGTTGCTGTGACCAGTCAGAAAGCCATGGTAACAGCAGAGCTGAAACCTAATTCAGATACGCCTGGGGAGGGTGCGCGGGGAGTGGGGAGACAGCCTGCAAGGACCACGTTATTAAGCGTGACAGTTTTGAAAATTTACTCACTCAGGACATGCAGCTGGAATAGAATGAGTGAATATTTCTACCATCCCCTCTGTATGCCAACAGTGGCTGAAATGATAGACGTCTGGTCTGGGCTCACAGAGAGGAGAATGCTGGAGCAAACTCAAAACAGAGATATAAATGACCTTGCCACTGCACTTCCTCTTTCATATGACATGCAACTTGTAGGCATACACTTGTAATGAGAAATGACAGTCTTATGAGACCTTTAATCAGAGGTGTGGTGTGCACACAGTGGATTTATTTACTTTGCTCTTACCAAAATGGGGAGTAGCTACTTTTAAATATGTAGCTCAAATGCTCATGACAATCTAAAAGAGGATACTTTATTTTTACAGATTTATGTTTCCAAAACTCACAGGAACTTTCATTACAGAAGAAAATAGCTTGGTCAGTATACCCACACTTTACCATATCAGCCATTCTCATAGGCCTCAATAACAGATAAAGACAAAAGGGTGAGGAAATGAGCATTTGCCAAATAATGAGGCATGGTGGTGCTTTGAAAATGGCAGAGCAGAGGCCTGGAAGACTGTGTGACCAATGGTGCTCAGGTGCTGATGGTAGCGTTCAGCTGTGTTCAGCTTCCTGCTTTGTTCCAGAAGCATACCAAAATGGAATGGGCACAAACTGCCCTTGTGTGGCCCAGCCTCAGCTCCTATTTTAAGCATGGGGCATAAGACCCTCTGCCCACATTGTCTACATAGACCCAAATTAAGGCCTTTTGATGGGTGGTGATGGCGAGACCAAACAGTTTAGTGGGCTTGAACCACCCCAGTTAAAAATGCTTTTGGATGTCATCCCCACACTTTATGTGTGGCACCAGGCTTCCTTACATTTGCTGCTGACAATGGTCCCCAAAGTCTAATCAACTTTAAAACAAGGTGCATAACTTGTGTTAAAACAAAAGTGGCCTTTTTTGGCTACTATCATGGTTTGCTGACATTTGATGGCAAAAAAATTCAGTGATGTGCCCCATGGAAGGTTCCAGGGGATGGAAACTGGCTCTTAAAACCCCTAAGTACTCCACCCATGCCTTAAGAGTTTCCAGGAGGAATCAGAAATAATGCTTTCAGCAGAGAGTGTTTGGAAACTATGCCCTTATTTCACTGGATTCAAAGAGAGTAATTCAAAAGGAAGTTGCTGAAAAACTGCCTGGGTTGCCTTATGGGGCATTGCTGCTCATATGAAATCTGGCTTTGGGACCCAGTGGGTTCTTTACTAAGTGTTGTAAAGCTTTTATTTCTGGACCTATGAGGCATACAGCTCTTTCTGAGTAAGTAGAGCAGTAAGGTGATCCAAACAGAAAGCAGAATACTCTGGCCCTGGAGACATAAGACATGTGCCAGAGTAAAGCACAGAGCCAGTAGCAAAGAATTGTGAGAAACTATATGGGACCCTGGATTAGAACTAAGAGATGCCCAAGAAAAAACATGAACAGAAGTTCTAACAAAAAGGCAAAACCCTTCAAACTACAAGGGTTTGGAGCAAAAGGTGCAGAAGACTTGATAAGTTGTAATGGTGGATCAAAAAATGAAGATACAGTAATCTGGTTCTGGAAAATGAGAAGCAAGTTCAGGCAGGCTCCATACCCCTTGATTAATTTATACCTAGCTAGCTATACAGAGAAGCACAGTATAATATTCAAGACCAATGCTGAGGTAGTGTGGGAACTTGTTGACCTGCCTGGCTGTGGGAAAACTTCAGGATTAGACCAGATTTCCTGACAAAATTCTGGATTAGCTAATTCAAATATTTCCTCATTTGTTAGTCATCCAAGTGTGAGCATAGCAATTAGATAAGTAATTCCATGTGTCTGCACCTACAATCAAGATCCATAATCAAGATACACATACCATGTAATATGCATATACCATGTGTGCAGAACCATTTTGTGTGTGGGGAGGGGTCAGAATGCAGTTGCTGGTGTGGCTACAACCACTGATATCATCAACTGCATATTTCCTCTGCGTTGGGACAGGCATAGAGAAAGGGGCTTGGCCATCCTGGGAAAAGCAGCCATTCCCCTCAGCACCAGAAAATTTCAGGCATCACAGTTCACACACTGCCCCCTTGTAGTAACAGATGCATGAAAGAGGACTTGGACAGCATCCACTTCCCTGCTGCTATCCCCAGTCAAAGGTAACAGGAGGCATTTCTCCAGGTTGTGGGGCTGGAGGAACCCAGGGCAGCTCTGCAGGTTGGATTAGACTTGTGGGCCAGAGGTTCCACATTCCTGAAATATACTGAAGCTTCTATCCTCTGTGACAGTTGAGAGCATAACAATGCCTATGATTCACTCCAGGACTCCCCTTGATTTGATGTTAGCTCCTTGTTGATTTAGCTCGGCCCTCAGCCTGCTGTCAATTATTTCTCTGTCCTTTCTTATTGGTTAGCTAGCTTGTTTACTGCCCAAAGGCTTTGATTGCCATCAATCCACCCACCATACTTATGTAGCCACTGTGTTCTTTGCACTCTGACCTTTTCATTGAGGCTACTTGAGGGTCACAGCTATTGCTCAACACTTGTACAGAGCACAAGGTAGTGGGAGCCTGGTTTAGCTCTTGCAAATCTCTGCCTCTGCCTTCATTATCCACCAGGATATGCAATTTTAGAACAAAAAGGGTAAGTAAGCAGGAATCCATGAAGATAAGGCTGCCAATACTTTAATAACCATATACTATGAACAGCAAGCATAAGGGTTTGTTAATAGCCCACAGATCCTGATATTCCAAAAGCAAACATTTCATTCCATAAAATAAGGGAAAAAGGAACCCAGAAAGACCAAATAGCCCACTAAGAATACATTTTTCATTGTTTAACATTTCAAAATGCGATTAAGACAAAATTAAAATAACCAGCACCCTTTAGCAATTCTGTAGAGTTGCTTGAAAATCAGCTGCAAATGCCACATCAGACTGTTTTTCCAGAAAGAAAAAGGTTGTATACTATAAAGACCTTCTTGGTGATAGGTGTGAAGAGATGATTTGAAACAAGGGAGTAGAGATTTAAAAAGGTAACAAAGAAAATTACTTAGCCCAAAGTTGGGGAGGGGCCAAAATCAGGTAGCACAAGGTATGGGAAAACAGGCACGTAGGCAGGAGGGCCAAATACTTCCTGATTGTTTAATTGACGAGCTGGGCAGAACAAAATGAGCCTATTGTAGCCCACCAGGGGCAGGGCTGGATTGGGAAGAAGGGGTGTTGGGGCAGTGCGGAGTAGGCGGGCGGAAAGAGTGTAACCTCTCTGTATCATATTAGCCAATTAGGGGAAAGAAGGAGGGAACAAGCGGCTGGGAGCAGGGTTCAAAAGGAGTGTGTGAACATGTGCTCAGGTGAACAGAAGAATTGGGAAGGAAACCAGTCCCTTCCATTTCTTTTATTGCAATAAAGTTTTAAAAAGAAGTCTCTGCCTGCCTGGGATATTTTTCTCTTCCGATGGAAAGGAAAGAGTGTTTTTTTTAACATTGGGAAGGGAATAAAGAACAAATTCTTCCCATCTCTAGAAAAATGACACAATTTTAACATGTTTCAAGTTGTTTCTAACTTTTAACTACAAAATGGAAATGTATGATTTGCATATTCTTAATGTGTCATCAAGTCATCTCAGACTTACGGTGCCTTATGAGTGAAAGCCCTCCAAAATGTCCTATGACAGCCTTGCTCAGCTTTTGTAAATTTAAGGCTGTGGATGTTGGATGTTTTGCATATGGAGTGTCATTTAAATCTTCCTTCAAAAATAGCTAAGAGGAGAACATTGAAAATAAGTAGTATCAATTCTTTCCTTTATTTTGGAAAGGCAGGTTGCTTACCTGTAGCTGTCGTTCTTCAAGTGGTCATCCATGCATTCACACCTACGGGCTTGCTGGGGAGTGCAAGGCCTCAATCAGAGAAAACTTCCAAAGCTTGGCACCGTGGAGTGGGCAGGAGCCCAGCCTGCCCCCTGTGCAGGCAGCATAAAAGGTGGGGGGGCTCCTGCCCAGTCCCTCAGTTGCCTGAAGACTGTGCTGTCCCAGGCATGCAAGGGATCCGAGGAATCTGTGGAGGATATAGTGGTGACCACGCCCTGCCCTGGCCCATGCGGGCAGAAAAGCTGACGATAGCCAGCGGGGCAGAGGGTGGGTTGTGTGAATGCACAGATGACCAGTCAACGAACGACAGTTACAGGTAAGCAACCTGCCTTTCTTCTTTGTGGTCTCCATGCAATCACACCTACGGGTGACTAGCAAGCTTACTGTCCAGGAGGAGGGGCTATCGTCACCAAAGAACTGAAGAGAGAACTGCCTTTTCAAAGGCGCAGTCCTATTTGGCATGGATGTCTAGCTGATAGTGTTGGATGAAGGTTGAGGGCGTGGACCATGTTGCAGCCTTACAGATCTCTTGGAACAAGACACCAGCTAGCAGCACAGTGGATGTGGCTTGAGCACATGTGGAATGAGCACGTGGGCGGTCCATCAGTGGAATTCTAGCCATCTCGTAGGCAAGGGTGATGGTACTGGAAATCCACTTAGAGAGACTTTGGCTGGAGACGGGTTTACCAGCTCTGGGGCCCTCATAGCATACGAAGAGGCACTCAGAGCAGCAGAGAGGCACAGTCCGGGCTCTGTAGAAAAGGCGACAGCCCTCCTGACATCGATGGGGGTGGATGGGTTGGGGAAGAAGGCTGGAAGGACCATGTCCTGGTTCACATGGAAAGGGGACATCACCTTGGGGACGAAGTGTGGGTCAGGGCGGAGGACAACCTTGTCCCTGTGAAACGTGGTGAAGGGGGTGTCAATCCGCAGGGCAGCTAGTTCACTGGCATGGTGAACCAATGTGATGGCCACCAGGAACACAGTCTTCCAGGAGAGAAGGCAGAGGTCTGCAGTTGCCATGGGCTTGAAGGGCCTCCCTGTGAGGGATTGTAGGACCTCTGAGAGGCTCCAGGAGGGGGTGCGATGCCGAACTGGTGGAGCCAAGTTTCAGAGGCCCCTGAGGAAGCAGTGTGCCAGGGGGTGAGCAAACACCAAGGACCCATGGATGGGGGGGGGGTGAAAGTGGGAGATGGCTGCCAGGTGGACCCTGATAGAGGAAGGGGAGAGGCCCACAGCAG